TGTGAGTCTCGTATGATCTCGTGATAAGATGGAATGGAAAGGGCGACTCTACAGATTCAGGAAGTGTTTGAACTGGATTTCTGAGCTGGATCATCACAAAGACACGGACACAGATACAGACACAGAGAAATTGAGGCAGGGTCAAGTTTATGGACCCCCGAGAGTTGAATATCCACACACATTCTTAATGTGTACCATTTTTTATTTCTGATTTATCTTCTGTGTTTTTGTTCTGAACCTGCACAGGTAACTGAATAAACACAGATGAAATTTGTTTCTAGACAAAAATCTGTACAAATTTATTTATGTACAAACATTTTTTACTTATGTACAAAATTATTTTGAAACAAATACCTGTATACATTTCAGTCAAACTGAAAAAAGTGCATTTCCTGTAGAAAGTGTTGAGTGAATAAGCAGTTCAAGACTACAGGCCCTTTTCACAAGAAATGGAAGTGCGTAAGTTCCTGTATTGCCTTTCGGACAGTTACTGACCTCAGAAATACAGACGTTTGTATCACTTCAGCAGCACAGAAAGGTGAGTCACTTAATCTGTCATAGTTACCAAGAGTCCAGAACTGTTGGAGAACCAAACACACAACAATGTGGGAGTCCAGACTAAATAAAGGACATAAATGCTTTGTGGAAAATTCCTTCACAGCTATCAGAGCACAGTGATGTCAGCTACGTCTACAGAGAGATAAATCAATGGAGGAGAAAATAACTATAACCAAAACGCTGGATTAGCCATGTTAGCTGGAGATGCTCAAACAGCTTGCTAACAATAAACTAAGTGGCAAAAAGCTAAATATGCACACACCAGCAGGGGGCGCGATGGGTCGTCAGGGTCTGTAGAACCACTGTACACGTTTTACACAAACACACTGGCTCCAGTGAACGAACACCTACCCGCTGAGCTCTCGCTCTCTCAGATACTGAAGAAATGGAAACTGTTCCTCTGAAAGCGGCTGCAGCAGCAACTTTACAGCATGAAAAGCACGTTAACGTTGGTCAGCAGCGCTGAAATGCAGACACAGAGTGTTCTTTTCCTTTATTGGTTACACAGTCATTTTCTCCGCTGCTCATCATCAGCTGACAAACCACTGAAACTGAGATGAGGCTGTTTTCGCTCCAAGTGAGCTGAACACTCTCTACTCATCATCTTTGCTATAGTTGTTGCTTTAGCTGAAACAGCGTCACCTGCAACGAGAACGTCCAGCAGAAAAAATACAAACTGTGAAAAAGGCTTATGGGTGATGCTATATGGTTGCTATGGTATTTTAGATTGTTGTTATGTGGTTGCTAAATTGTTGCTAGGATATTTCTTGGCTGGTCCCTATGGTATTTTAGGTGGATGCTGGGGTGTTTCTAAGTGGTTGCTAAGGTACCCAAGGTGGTTCACAGTGTCACTAAATGGTTTTGATAAGGTTTGATACTAAATGGAGCCGATAAGGTCTCAGCATAAAGCATCTTTCCATGAAGCTGCTTATGGGACCACTGAGAGGACGTAAAGGGGGCGACCTTTGTGCTCCGGTGTCCGTGTAGGTCCATGTGAGATGTTACATGTTTTGGATGTTTTCACTGTCACTGTAAAGTGTATGAAACAGTTAAACTGGTGAGAGTCTTCCAGTCTTCTGACTGGTAATGTATGTAAATATATTCTGTGTTTTTCCGGAGGGGGCGGGGTCTGTTTCACTTTAGTTTCTGTAGAAGTTTTTGCCCTGGATTGTTTGTGCTAAAGCTGCCTTTCACTTTCTTTCTTTCTCATCATATTGTTTATCTCTCTCTGATGATCAGACTGATGTTGAAACTCTTCCAGAACATTTACTGTAAAGTAAAGCCACACAGTCAGACTGTGACTGTCCTGTTTTAAACCACTTATAATCATACCACTCAGACTGGTAAACCTCTCTTTATCTATCTCTCTCTTTCTCTGTCTCTTTTTTTCTTTCTGTCTCTTTGTTTTCTTTCCCTCAGTCTGTCTCCATTTTCTCTTTATTATACTTTCTCTCATTTTCTTTTCTCTCTCTCTTTTCTGTCTCTTCCTCTCTCTATCTCTTTCTCCCTCTTCTTTTACCCTCCCCCCACGCCTCTCTCTCTCTCTCTCAGTTCTGGTCATTCCTGTCCTATGATGTAATCACTCAGAAAGGGGAACAGGCTGTTCTTTGGCCTTTCCTCAGTGGGCTTCCTGTTTCTGTGACACGGTTAAAAATAAACCAATAAAGAAAACACTCAGGCCTGTTCTGACGCCTCCACTGGAGACTGTGAGTATAGCTCACATCCGGCGCTCCCTCAGCCATCTGAACGCCTCATTTAACGGCTCTGTCTAATGTTTAGTGTTTAACTAACTGCTTTTATACATGGAAACCTTTTGCAAAATCCCCTTCACTTTGTCTACCCAACACTGCCATCTACTGCTGAACTGAGGAAGTGCACACTGAATTTGATCCTGTCTCTGATGGAGTGTGTCGTTTTCTACCCATCATAAAACCCCAAAAACAGTTTTATTAATGTGTGATCTGTTTTCTGTGAATTTGGTACTTACAATGCTCATTTACTACAAAAGCTAAAATTCTGTCAAAATGTCAAAGCAAACATTGCTTCAGTGCATTTGGTCATAAAAGGTAATTCTGTCAGAATCAGAATCACTTTATTTTACCAAGTATGTTACACATGCAATGAATCTGTCTTGGAGAGTCACTCACGTAACATATTGAACAGACCAGACAAGCGAACAGACTGTTAACAAATATTTAACTAAGAGAAAAACGCAATAAAGTACAACAACCAGAATAAAAATGAATAGAGAGCAGATGTGAAGAGAGTTAAAGAGAAGTGTGAATATCTGTGCATGAATATCTGTACACATCCAGGCCTGAGAAGACAACATGGGAAACAGCACTTTAGATGAAAACTCTTTAATTGAACACCAGCAAGTTTACTGCTTGTGTATGCTGGAGCCCCGACGCTCAGCTTTGACCAGCCACGCCGCCGGCGCCCACAGCCATACGCAGCGTTTTTTGAAATATCGAGGTCCAAAAACTGAGCTTGTTCAGCTGGTAAATGTCCCCAGGCCAGCATGCTGCTCTGCCGCCATTCAGGTATTCCTCGCCAGCTGCTGTCCCCTTCACTGTTCTGATGAGCCTCGTTCGCGCTGCTTCCACCTCTTTCTTCACTGCCCATCCTCGCTGTGCCGACTCTCCCTCTCAGGCCTCTACTGGGCTCGGTCCTTCACCTTTCAGTTTCTGGATGTGCCATTCTCCTCCAGACCTCTGGGGGGTGATTCCCACTTCGTACACCAAATGTGGCATCAGCGAAGAAGATGAGGGAAACATAGCATTCCAACCACACAACTCTCCCTAATGGTAGGCACTAACACTGCACTGCTACCCCACAGCCCATCACTGAATAGTTGGACTAATGAACAACAACTTATTAACAAAGAAAAGTCCCTCTTACTGTGAGTCCGGCACTCCTGTGGTGCTCCGCATATCACCACTGCCTCCCAGGTGTCCATGGCTGAACGTGCCTATAGCAGGACGCTACAATAGTAACTATTATGGACAGAATATTACAGAACGATACAAACATTTGTATAAAATACAACATTTAACATCTGTACAGCTGTGTAAACAAGTGTTATGTTACAGAGGAGTAAGGGAGGTTTGGGAGGTTAGTCAGTTTAAATGTAAAGTGCGAGGTGTCCATTGATTTTTCATGCCCGCTGTGGCAGTATGCTTTAGCCTAGGACAGTTAGGTTTAGATTTTTAGGTTTGCACTCATCTTTGTACATATTACCCGTATGATCTTAGCCTTTAACTCGTAAGGGCCAGTGGTGAGCAGACGCATGCTTTATAGTGAAGGGTGCTGATTGTAAAGTGTTGGGTTTATATGAATTCAGAATTCTGGTTGGTGGGTATGTAACCCAACTGAGGAGTTCTGAGAGTGAGGGCTTTGGGAAACGCTGCCAAGAAGACAACACACAAATCAGAGCGATACTGTATTTCATATTCACTTCTTTTGATTATTCATCACATACTTGTACTTCATATTGTTCACCACGTACACTTTCACCTCTCAAAACAAACTGTAGTACTTCAAGGGCCCTTCAGATAATAATAAGAGAAAACAGCCACAGCACAACCCAATGTGCAGAAAAATTAAATAAAAATGTATTTTTTTCTTTTCTTGTCCTTTAAAGAACTGTCTTCCTGGTGCAGATTGTTTACTTCTGGGCAAGCTCTGAGTCTCTTCTCTAATAGCGCACCGCTGATGTCAGTCACTACAGCAGACCAGCAAAACTACAGTCTAGTCTAATGTAAAAGCTAAAGACTTCAGAGAACCTCCATCCAAAGTACAGCTACTGAATTTAACGTTCATTCATATTTTGAGAGAGACACACTCTGCAGCCATTTATTCCTCCATAAAGGGGTGATACATACATAGTGCACTAGGTGTCACCAATTTTCTGCTTGGGGACTAGAATTGGCTGAATTAGTGCATGCAGTGTTGAAGGTTGGTCTAAGTCCTGATAAAGATATTGATTGGATATCTTTATCAGCTGATTTCAGTTAGACTATGGGTCAGTAAATGTTCCACCCCCCCCCACCACCCCCCAACTTTCCCTAGGTTCAAGTGTTGCCACCACAACAGCCATAGGCATAGCAGTCCCTTCAAATGTCAAATGTTTAAGCACCCTTGAAAGACAATTGGTGCTGCCTGTTTACAATATTGAATTTCCTGCTCATGGCTGTTCATATTAGCTGTATGTTAAGTAGTGAAAATGAACTATTTAATGTTCATTTCTTGAGCTGAGAAATGTGACTGTCTGCTTTTGAAATTATAGTGAAATTATAGTTCTTACTTCTATGCTTCTTGTACAACAGGTTAAAAACAGTTGGCTGTTTGAGAAATGGTCCTTGCTGTAGATCAAGCATGTCGGCTTTATTAGAGAGTTAAATGATTGAGGTTCTGTAGAACTTCTGTTAAACCTTCAGTGTTGTTTCAATAATAATTCAGGGTGCAAAAGTGATTAAGAATTTTTGGGGAACGTTGACCCAGTGAAGTGAATGTTAGTGCTTTAACATTATTTAGCTTGGGTTCAGTGACTGTTTGCTATCTGGGAAGTTTAATGCACAGTGTTTACCCTGAACTCCTCCCAGAGTGAGGACTTATAATCTCCTCTGCAGCTGTGAGAGGAAACTCTCTGAAGAGAAGAACGAACGTTCTCCTCTTTCTGAAGACCCAACCATTAGAGAACGTTTTCCTCTTTCTGAAGACTGGACAGTTAGAGAAGAGCCAACGTTCTCCTCTTTCTGAAGACTGGACAGCTAGAGAAGAGCGAATGTTCACCTCTTTCTGAAGACTGGACCGTTAGAGAAGAGCGAATGTTCTCCTCTTTCTGAAGACTGGACCGTTAGAGAAGAGCGAATGTTCTCCTCTTTCTGAAGACCGGACCGTTAGAGAAGAGCGAATGTTCTCCTCTTTCTGAAGACCGGACCGTTAGAGAAGAGCCAACGTTCTCCTCTTTCTGAAGACGGACCGTTAGAGAAGAGCCAACGTTCTCCTCTTTCTGAAGACTGGACCGTTAGAGAAGAGCCAACGTTCTCCTCTCTCTGAGAGCCAACGTTCTCCTTTTTCTGAAGACCGGACCGTTAGAGAAGAGCGAACGTTCTCCTCTTTCTGAAGACCGGACCGTTAGAGAAGAGCGAACGTTCTCCTCTTTCTGAAGACCAGACCGTTAGAGAAGAGCGAACGTTCTCCTCTTTCTGAAGACCGGACCGTTAGAGAAGAGTGAGCGTTCTTCTCTGGTTCTCTCTGAAGATGAAGCTGTTTGTTTCAGTGCTGATGCTCCTCACTCTGGGAGCCGTGGGAGAGGTGGTGGAGAACTTTAAAGGACATGATTGTGAAAATTTCTTTCTGGATGGTGAGCCACCAGAGTTTAAGACTAACGGAATAGCCTCGCAGGTTCCGGTGGAGGGTCGCTATGTGCGGATCTGTCAGAGATACAGAAATAAGTATCATTATGCGACTCTGTATGACACCGCAGAAAAGATTCCTGTGTATTCTGCATATCGGTATGAACGGAGAACTGAGTGTAAAGTGAAAAGACCTACTACACCATGGAAGATCGAACCTCAGGTAAGAAATGACAGATTCTAACCTGTTTCAGAATATTTCTGATTTAAGACTCACTTATTTGCTTTTTATAGTGTAATACAGTCAGTATATCTAGTACTGCTAATATAAAGTCAATATAGCTGATATTTCTCATAAATGTTATGAAAATAACAAGATGAAGCTGGTAAACCTGCAGAGAACCCAGCAGATCAGAACCCTCAGAGTCAGAGGGCTTTATTTGTATACCACTGTGGCGCCTGGGTTTGGTTCACTTTAAAAGATTTATTATGTCCTGTTCTAGAAAATTAATAATGCTGAGTTTTTTGCATGAGCTCTACTTCTGAAGGGCGGGGCCTAGTGTTCTCAGGAGGTGTGACAGATAGCACAGCTGCTAGTGCTAACAGTATGAGCTAGGCTGTATTCTGGGTAGTAGCTGCTAAGCTAAGTGCAGGGCTGCTGTCTTTTCATTGTTGAGTTCTTCAGTAAAACCCTGAGCTCTTCCAAGTGTCTTGGGGAAAAACTGTTTAATCCTTTAAAACAGTAAATGGATCTGCTCGTACAGTCAGATCATCTATCAGTGCAGCATGTTTACAGTGTGAGTGTTCTCATTATTTAACCTCCACACAGGTTACAGGACTTTCCTTCAGTCTAGTAACTCCAGCAGCCCACAGATCACACTTACTCACTCAGTATAACCTTACAGCTGCAGCAGATATATGAGATCATGGAATGGAAGCAGAGTTTCCGCTGTTATTTTCTCAGGTTCTCTGGTTTTAAATCAGTGTGTTTGTGAAGGACTCAGTGTTTTGTCCTGTAACCACAGAAAACAAATGTTAAAGGTCAAACTTTTAACTGTGCGACTTTCTCTGTTTGCTGTTTCAGCTCGAGGACAACAATAACGGTAGGGAGATGGCCTTGGAAAAGAACGTGAGAAAAAATAACAGGCAGGCATACGACTCTGATTATGAAAACTCAGGTTATAACAGAGGTCATCTGTTTCCTGTGTGCCAAACTAACTCTGATGACTCTGCAGAGAGCACCTTCACCCTCACCAACGCTGCACCTCAGGGATGTGCATTCAACAAGAGGTGGTATCACAAAGTGGAAAATGACGTGAGAAAATCCCTACAAAATTGCGTGAATGAGGGAAGAAAACCGTACATAGTGACAGGAGTTGTGCCGAGTGATGGAACGCCGAAGATGGCCAACAGGGTGAATGTTCCAGTCTATTTCTGGACGGCCTATCGCTGCTGTGGTACTAATGAATGTCAGTTCGGTGGCTACATTATGCATAAAGATACTGATGTAACTAGACATGTCACGGACATGACTGAGTTTGATCGTAAACTGAGCAAATATTACAAGACACCAATCACAGTGTTTAAACGTGCAGGTTTAACCTGAAGAAAGCGAAAATATGACGAACGTGTTCAAGTTTAATTCCAACATGCTGTGACAGTTTGGGATATAATGAGTTTGTTCCCTTAGAATTATGAGGTTCTGTCTGACATTTCTGTCAATTGCTATGTGAGGTGTTTTTTTAAGGTGTGTTCATTTTTGGACTCTTTATCTAGAAAACAAAAAGGTTCTATTCTAAAACAAAATCTCACAAGGCCTTTAGACTGACCGGCTCCACTGACCTGCTGGGACAGTTCATTACTGTAGCTGTTTCTGACTAAAGGAAACTTAAACTAATGGTACATAAAACTGACCTGATATTTTGCACTGACCTTTACACTTAATCTGTCAATCAATGCTTTGGATTTGTTCTAAAATGAGAAATATGTAATAATAAATATATAAATAATTAAATAAATGTCATAATAGTTCATAGAAAGAATTAAATTTAACTGATAATGTAAACACTGTTATACTAATTTTAAACCAAATTACGAGTATGAACTGTTTGTGTTCTTTAAAAATCACTGTTTCTTTTCAGGTTTTGTCAGATAGAACCTTATAACTCCAAGCAGAAAGTGAGTTCTGAGGATTAGGAAGTTCTATCTGCATTTGATCTGTTCCAAAATGTCATGTTCACTGATATTGTACATTTAGAATAAAGTTAGGGTGTCTTTCGTTTTCATGTATTAAAGAGACGCGTTCACATATCAGTTCTTTAAAGCTCAATATCTCAAAACTGCTCAGAACCCAGACAGAACCTTATAATTCGAAGGGGCAGAGAGTAACAGCTCCTTTTATTTCTCTAATACAGACGATATTAATCATAATATAGCATTGCTATTTGTGGTATATGTGAAGCTCCTAACAGCTTAATAACAGTAAAACGCAGTGTAATGTTACTCTGACTGTTTAACATGTATTTACTCTCTGTATGAAATATATCACTGATCATAAACACTAAAGCTGCAGGAAACTCGTCTGTGAGTCTTTAATCAGACACATTCGCTCAGACTCTGATCTGTCAGAACGACTGTGATGGTTATTCTCATAGGGACACACACATCGGGGTGGTGCTCTTCCAGTAGTGGTGTTGCAGTGTGGAGCTGCTGAAACAATCAGAGCCTCTTAACTGTACACAGTTAACCTTGTTTCTCTCTGTATGAACAGCTTAATGAGGTTCTCTATTAATATACAAAGAAAACAATCTGCTATAAAAATAGACAAAACTACAGACGACTGAACTGTGTCTTAGTTCATATTTCAGAAACCACATAATCCAGTTCAGAGGTCACTGAACTGTCTGAGCTGAAGTAGGCAGTTAGTCTAAAGTCTATTAGTGTTCAGGGTCGCATTATTAATAAAGGTCTCCGTTATTAATAAAGGTCTCCGTTATTAATAAAGATTTCCGTTATTAATAAAGGTCTCCGTTATTAATAAAGATTTCCATTATTAATAAAGCTCTCCGTTATTAATAAAGATCTCCGTTATTAATAAAGATCTCCGTTATTAATAAAGGTCTCCATTATTAATAAAGATCTCCGTTATTAATAAAGATTTCCGTTATTAATAAAGCTCTCCGTTATTAATAAAGATCTCCGTTATTAATAAAGGTCTCCGTTATTAATAAAGCTCTCCGTTATTAATAAAGATTTCCATTATTAATAAAGCTCTCCGTTATTAATAAAGATCTCCGTTATTAATAAAGGTCTCCGTTATTAATAAAGATTTCCGTTATTAATAAAGCTCTCCGTTATTAATAAAGATCTCCATTATTAATAAAGCTCTCCGTTATTAATAAAGATCTCCGTTATTAATAAAGGTCTCCGTTATTAATAAAGGTCTCCATTATTAATAAAGATCTCCGTTATTAATAAAGATTTCCGTTATTAATAAAGCTCTCCGTTATTAATAAAGATCTCCGTTATTAATAAAGGTCTCCGTTATTAATAAAGCTCTCCATTATTAATAAAGATTTCCATTATTAATAAAGCTCTCCGTTATTAATAAAGATCTCCGTTATTAATAAAGGTCTCCGTTATTAATAAAGATCTCCGTTGTTAATAAAGATTTCCATTATTAATAAAGGTCTCCGTTATTAATAAAGATCTCCGTTATTAATAAAGATTTCCATTATTAATAAAGCTCTCCATTATTAATAAAGATCTCCGTTATTAATAAAGGTCTCCGTTATTAATAAAGATTTCCGTTATTAATAAAGCTCTCCGTTATTAATAAAGATCTCCATTATTAATAAAGCTCTCCGTTATTAATAAAGATCTCCGTTATTAATAAAGGTCTCCGTTATTAATAAAGATCTCTGTTATTAATAAAGGTTTCCGTTATTAATAAAGATCTCCGTTATTAATAAAGGTCTCCGTTATTAATAAAGATCTCCGTTGTTAATAAAGATTTCCATTATTAATAAAGATTTCCATTATTAATAAAGCTCTCCGTTATTAATAAAGATCTCCATTATTAATAAAGCTCTCCGTTATTAATAAAGATCTCCGTTATTAATAAAGGTCTCCGTTATTAATAAAGATCTCCGTTATTAATAAAGATCTCCGTTATTAATAAAGATTTCCGTTATTAATAAAGCTCTCCGTTATTAATAAAGATCTCCGTTATTAATAAAGGTCTCCGTTATTAATAAAGCTCTCCATTATTAATAAAGATTTCCATTATTAATAAAGCTCTCCGTTATTAATAAAGATCTCCGTTATTAATAAAGGTCTCCGTTATTAATAAAGATCTCCGTTGTTAATAAAGATTTCCATTATTAATAAAGGTCTCCGTTATTAATAAAGATCTCCGTTATTAATAAAGATTTCCATTATTAATAAAGCTCTCCATTATTAATAAAGATCTCCGTTATTAATAAAGGTCTCCGTTATTAATAAAGATTTCCGTTATTAATAAAGCTCTCCGTTATTAATAAAGATCTCCATTATTAATAAAGCTCTCCGTTATTAATAAAGATCTCCGTTATTAATAAAGGTCTCCGTTATTAATAAAGATCTCCGTTATTAATAAAGGTTTCCGTTATTAATAAAGATCTCCGTTATTAATAAAGGTCTCCGTTATTAATAAAGATCTCCGTTGTTAATAAAGATTTCCATTATTAATAAAGATTTCCATTATTAATAAAGGTCTCCGTTATTAATAAAGATCTCCGTTATTAATAAAGATCTCCGTTGTTAATAAAGATTTCCATTATTAATAAAGATTTCCATTATTAATAAAGGTCTCCGTTATTAATAAAGATCTCCGTTATTAATAAAGATCTCCGTTGTTAATAAAAATCTCCAGATACAGCAAAATTCACTGTAATTTCAGAAGTTTGTGGAAACCTGTTTATCCAGTGTTTCTTCTGTAGTGAAGGTGTTAATAGTGAGTCTGTGCTGCAGTAACAGCCTCTACTCTTCTGGGAAGGCTGTACACTAGATGTTGGAACATTGCTGTGAGGATTTGATTGAGCATTAGTGAGGTCAGGTACTGATGTTGGATGGTCAGCTCTGGATCACTTCAACTCATCCCAAAGGTATTGGATGGAGCTCCATCACTCCAGAGAACACAGTTCCTCTGTTTCACAGCCCAATGCTGGGGGGCTTTATAGCCCTCACTTGGCACTGGACATGGAGATCTTAGGATCATGTGCAGCTGCTCCAGAACGCCCCATTCTATTGTCAACACTTTTCTATGGAGATCAAAGCTGTGTGTGTATCTGAACCCCTGTGTCAGCAGTGAGTGACCTTAATGTAGCTGATTCACTAATAAGGAGGGGAGTCCACCAACCTTTGGACAAACAGTGTATATTGTGATGCCTTGGCAAAGAAATGAGTCCTTTGATGAATGGTCCTTTAATCAGGATCAGGTTCACCACCCTTATAATACTCATTCCAACAAGAACGATATACTAATTTGGTTAAGCTACGAGCTACATTCTTAAAAAAGGTGGTTCTTCAAGGGTTCCTTAGTAAAGACAATGGTTCTACATAGTATCTTTTTGAAAAGGGTTCCTTATAGCACCAAAAAGGGTCCTTCTATTGTAACAAGCTTGCCATCGTAACAATAGAGGAACCCTCTTTGGTGCCATATAGAACCCTTTATAAAAAGGTTCTATATAGAACCATTTACAGCACAATCTCCATCAACCTGAAGAACCCTTTCATGATGCAAAGAACCCTTTAACCATGCAAAGGGTTCTTTGAGTGTTCATGGTTCTTTGTAGATTGTTTTTACTGTACTAGACTTTACACAGCTCCTTTAGAACCGGGTGGTGTTGTTCATCATATACATTTGACACCATTGTGAACTCTAATAGTGCCGAGCAAGTAAAAGTCATCAAACTGTAATCATTGTTTAGAATCAGAAGAAAGTGAAACAGATCAAATTAGAGGATAAAGTCGTAGAGTTTAATGAAGCTCCGAGTTAAAGAGTCGTAGAGTTTTATGAAGCTCTGAGTTAAAGAGTCGTAGAGTTTAATGAAGCTCTGAGTTAAAGAGTCGTAGAGTTTAATGAAGCTCCGAGTTAAAGAGTCGTAGAGTTTTACTGAAGCTCTGAGTTAAAGAGCCGTAGAGTTTAATGAAGCTCCGAGTTAAAGAGTCGTAGAGTTTTATGAAGCTCTGAGTTAAAGAGTCGTAGAGTTTAATGAAGCTCCGAGTTAAAGAGTCGTAGAGTTTTATGAAGCTCTGAGTTAAAGAGTCGTAGAGTTTAATGAAGCTCTGAGTTAAAGAGTCGTAGAGTTTAATGAAGCTCCGAGTTAAAGAGTCGTAGAGTTTTACTGAAGCTCTGAGTTAAAGAGCCGTAGAGTTTAATGAAGCTCCGAGTTAAAGAGCCGTAGAGTTTAATGAAGCTCTGAGTTAAAGAGCCGTAGAGTTTAATGAAGCTCCGAGTTAAAGAGTCGTAGAGTTTTACTGAAGCTCTGAGTTAAAGAGCCTTAGAGTTTAATGAAGCTCCGAGTTAAAGAGTCGTAGAGTTTTACTGAAGCTCTGAGTTAAAGAGCCGTAGAGTTTAATGAAGTTCCGAGTTAAAGAGCCGTAGAGTTTAATGAAGCTCCGAGTTAAAGAGTCGTAGAGTTTAATGAAGCTCCGAGTTAAAGAGTCGTAGAGTTTAATGAAGCTCTGAGTTAAAGAGCCTTAGAGTTTAATGAAGCTCCGAGTTAAAGAGCCGTAGAGTTTAATGAAGCTCTGAGTTAAAGAGTCGTAGAGTTTAATGAAGCTCTGAGTTAAAGAGCCGTAGAGTTTAATGAAGCTCTGAGTTAAAGAGCCGTAGAGTTTAATGAAGCTCTGAGTTAAAGAGTCGTAGAGTTTAATGAAGCTCTGAGTTAAAGAGCCGTAGAGTTTAATGAAGCTCTGAGTTAAAGAGTCGTAGAGTTTTACTGAAGCTCTGAGTTAAAGAGTCGTAGAGTTTAATGAAGCTCCGAGTTAAAGAGTCGTAGAGTTTAATGAAGCTCCGAGTTAAAGAGTCGTAGAGTTTACTGAAGCTCTGAGTTAAAGAGTCGTAGAGTTTTACTGAAGCTCTGAGTTAAAGAGCCGTAGAGTTTAACTGAAGCTCTGAGTTAAAGAGTCGTAGAGTTTTACTGAAGCTCTGAGTTAAAGAGTCATAGAGTTTAATGAAGCTCTGAGTTAAAGAGTCGTAGAGTTTAACTGAAGCTCTGAGTTAAAGAGTCGTAGAGTTTTACTGAAGCTCTGAGTTAAAGAGTCGTAGAGTTTTACTGAAGCTCTGAGTTAAAGAGTCATAGAGTTTAATGAAGCTCTGAGTTAAAGAGTCGTAGAGTTTAATGAAGCTCTGAGTTAAAGAGTCGTAGAGTTTAATGAAGCTCTGAGTTAAAGAGTCATAGAGTTTAATGAAGCTCTGAGTTAAAGAGTCGTAGAGTTTAATGAAGCTCTGAGTTAAAGAGTCATAGAGTTTAATGAAGCTCTGAGTTAAAGAGTCATAGAGTTTAATGAAGCTCTGAGTTA